GGATTGCCTGAAGGTGGACAGGGTAGGAGATAGTTTGGGTAAGGAGTTCTAGAGGATGGGAGAGAGTGTACAGAAGTCCTGGAGGTGAGCATGGGAGGATGTGATGAGAAAGTTAGAGAGCAGGAGGTCTTGATCGTGTGAAGACAACAATTTGGTTAGGTTAATTGGGTTTAGGTTGGTGATGTAGTTCGGGCCAGAGCTGTGGATGGCTTTGTAGGTTGTTGTTTTTTGAATTTTTGTATGTTGAATTTTATTTGTTGGGTGAGTGGAAGACAGTGGAGGGATTGGCAGAGAATGGCGACGGATACTGAATGGCTGGTAAGGTGAATGAGTCTGGCAGCAGTATTCATAATGGACTAGAAAGAACTAGATACTAGACAGAAGTAAACACTTTTTAGCACTGACATTTTTAACATGAGCCTTTCTATATGGAAAGAGAGCAGGGAGTCTGTAGTTAGTGTGTTTGTGAATTTTGTAAATCACAGACAAAAGGGAGTGAAATAAACTCATGTACTACAGGAATGTATCATTTTGACTGCACTGTCCTTTTTAAATACAGCCTTCATTTCCAGACGCCAATAATAATACAAACTGATAGTCAGCCCACACAACCTAGGTCATCAAAGCCATCATCAAGAATAAATCAATTTCCAAAGTATCAAGTGGGGTTTTGCCTGCCAGCCTTTGCTATCTTGGTCATTTATGCAACAACTGTAATTATAAAAAATGAGGCCTGTGTATGAGTCAGAGTTTATATTTACAAAATTAAATCAAATTTCCCTCTGCTAAAAAACTAAAACCACAGTAGGCTCATGTTCTCGGTAATATGTTGAAATATGTTGCCCTGATGAAGCATCCTAATTGCGAAACGGGTTGACATCTGGATATGAAAAGCCTGCTTATACAATACGCTTCATATGTTTGAATATTATATATATATATATATATATATATATATATATATATATAGAGAGAGAGAGAGAGAGAGAGAGAGAATAGTTCAGGCTAACAGTCCTTAAATCCAATTGGGGGTATCTGATATGTTTCTTAACTAATCAGGATTTGGATTCCTACAGTTTGTTTTATCAATATGTGATGTGATAGTTTAATGATTTTTTAATAAATGTATTATTTTTTTTATATTGTGGTCTTGTGAGGTGCCAATAAAGTCTGGAATAAAGTCCAGTTTTTTTTGTTGAAATAATTTGGATGTGGAATTTTGGAAGTCTGCATTATCACGTTATCTCCATTACTTATACCTTATTACAGATGGGATCATTTTCCCCCAATGTGCTGTCAATCACCGGGTCCTGGCCAGTGATTCCTCTCCGGCACCCGGTGATTGCTGAGTATCTATAACGGGGGAGAGACCTGTGTATAGACAACACAGATCTCTCTCCTGTCAGCTCCTCCACACTGCCTTGTATGGCTCTGCATAGCGAAGCCATACAAAACAGTTTGCTTGTAATACAGCACACAACAGCACACAATTAACTCTGATCGCCCCACATGTTAACCCCTTCCTGCCTAGTGCCATTAGTACAGTGTCAATGCTTTTTATTAGTACAGATCACTGTATTGGTGCCACTGGGGATGTCAGTGACACCATATCAGTTCCCCCCAGTGTCAGAATGCCCACCGCAGTCCCGCTATAATGTGCTGATCGCTACCATTACTAGTAAAAAAAAATAATTCCAATATATACACCGCCATTTGTAAATGCTATAACTTTCACTTAAACCAATTAATTTACTGTATTGGGATTATTTTTAGCAAAGACATGGAGCAGAATACATTTTGGCCTAAATTTATAATGAAATTTGATTTTTTTTTTTTTTTACTGCACAAAATTGTTGGTCTTTATTTGTTTATAATACAAAAAATAAAAAACACACAGGTGATCAAATACTGCCAAAAGAAAGCTCTATTTGTGGTAAAAAAAGGACACACATTTAATTTGAGTGCAGAATTGCATGACTGCGCAATTGTCAGTTAAAGTAATGCAGCGCCATATCGCAAAAAATGGCCTGGTCAGGAAGGGGGGTAAATCCTCTAGAGGGCAAGTGGTTAAGTTTTGCATTCAGTGGACCTTGATCTTGAATTTGAGCAACATATTGTTATGTCTATTAACTACTATTATGTCTATTACCTATTGAACGACATATCGGACTGGATGTTGCTCCACTTCCTCAAACTGAACCTTTCCAAAACCGTGCTCCTAATTTTCCCCCCTGCCCGCACCCCCCCCACCCTCTCCATCACGACCAACAACGCTATTATCAGTCCCACCACGCAAGCCAAGGTCCTCGGTGTCATCCTAGACTCTAACCTGTCCTTCCAACCCCATGCCCAATCGCTGACTACCGCATGCAGGTTCCACCTCCGCAACATCTCCAAAATACGCTCGTTCCTAACCCCAGACACTACTAAACAACTCGTTCATTCCCTTATTATCTCACGTCTGGACTACTGCAACTCTTTTCTCACCGGCCTATCCCCGCTCCAGTCTATCCTGAACTCAGTGGCCAGACTCATCCACCTTACCAACCGCTCCTCTTCTGCCACCCCCCTCTGTCATTCCCTCCACTGGCTCCCGATTGCCCAACGCATCAAATTCAAACTACTAACACTGACATACAAAGTTATTCATAACGCTGCCCCAGACTACCTCACCGACCTGATACCCAAATACCACCCTACCTGTAATCTTCGCTCCTCGCAAGACCTCCTACTCTCTAGCTCCCTGGTCTCCACCCCCTACGCCCGACTGCAGGACTTCTCCAGAGCTTCCCCAATCCTCTGGAACTCGCTTCCCCAATCCATCAGATTGTCCCCTACCCTCCTCACCTTTAGGCGCACCCTGAAAACCCATCTCTTCAGGGAAGCCTACCCCACCCTCACCTAACAGCCGATCCCCTCCACTCCTCACTCTATTCCATCCCCCACAGCCATCTCCTCCTGTATCACCATCCCCTCCCTCCTAGACTGTAAGCTCGTGTATCGTGTATTGTTTTGCTACTGTATTGTCTCATGTCTTGTCCCCCATTCTAATGTACAGTGCTGAGCAAACCCTTTGGCGCTATATAAATACTCTATAATAATAATCATAATAATAATAATAATACTTGAGTCCCCAAACATTTTCCTTCTTGAATCCCCTTAGTCTACCCTACCACATTGTTTTCTTTTTCAAGACAGATAGTGCTCAAATTTGCTAGCAAATCTGGATAGGCAGTATATATTTTTATTTACTTGTTTTTATTGGGAATACATTTTGTGCTAGCTAAAAGAGTGGGAAATTTGAGTAGAGAGTGAAAAAGGTTTAGTTTTGACTGCTGGTGATTGCAGGTGCTTGTAGTTGTTTTATTTTCTTTGGGTCTTGCTAAAAGCTTTTACTTTTTTAAATCCCTTTTTCTGTCGCTTTTTAAATAGCATTTTTTCCTCTTCCTTTCCTTGTCTTCTTTCAGTCTGTTAATTAAGGGGAGGGGCTAATTGGTTACAGGTGATACAGGTGCTATATAACTTGCTGTAGAGCTCACACTGAGCTTGCTCATTCTTAAGCTTGCCTGTATTTTGCTTGCTGGACCTTTGATCAAGTGGACATTTGATAAGTGGAGTTAAAAAACCGAAGTTGAAAACAAGAGTCTACTAACCTATAAGTGACAACTGATATGTCCTGTTAATATTGTAACTGGGTATTGTAATGAGTGCTTGCAGGGTTGAAGGTTTTGTGCAGTGCACAGTGTGCAGCATGTATGCAACAATGGAGCAAAACAGCTCCAGGATGGATACCGCTGTGACATGGGCGGGTTGCCCTTCTGGAATCTTGCATTAGAGATCTGGAGGAGCAAGTTGCAACACTGGGCAGAACCGACAACCTTGAAAGGGGTCTTCTGCCCTCTGAGCAGGTACCTAATAGGATTGATGTGGAGGGCGGAGGGGCTAATCAGGATTATCAGGTAGGAAGATGAGTTACTGTAAGGGAGTGGTAGGGGCTCACAGAAAAGGAAGGCTGGCCCTGGGTTTGTGCACCCAAACAGATTTGCCACATTGGGTGAAGATATGGGGGTGGTAAGCTCAGGGGTGGCAGCCCTGGATGTCACTGCTGTCCCTAACAGCCGGGAGGGCAGACCAGCTGGGAGGGGTGGTGAGGGTAGTGCAGGAAGGCCTAGACAGCTGATGGTAGTAGGGGATTCTATAATCTGAAGGACTGATAGAATATATTGTCACCAGGATCGCCTCAACCGAATGGTTTGCTGTCTCCCTGGTGCCAGGGTTCGGCATGTGGTGGACCGGGTTGATAAATTACTGGAAGGGGCTGGGCATGACCCAGCTGTCTTGGTCCATTTTGGAACCAATGACAGAATACATGGAAGGTGGAGACTCCTTAAGAATCAATTTAACCACTTGCCTACAGGGCACTTATACCCCCTTCCTGCCCAGGCCAATTTTCAGCTTTCAGTGCTGTCGCGCTTTGAATGACAATTGTGTGGTCATGCAACAGTGTACCCATATGACATTTTTATCATTTTTTTTAGACAGATAGAGATTTATTTTGGTGGTATTTAATCGCCTCTGGGTTTTTTATTTTTTGCTAAACAAATCAAAAACAACTGAAAATTTTGAGAAAAAAAAAAGTTTTTTCTTTGTTTTCGTTATAAAATTTTGTAAATAAGTGATTTTTCTCCTTCACTGATGTGCACTAATGAGGCTGCAGTGATGGGCACTGATAGGCTGCACTTATGGGCACTGATTTGTGGCACTGATGGGCACTGATGAGGAGGCACTGGTAGGTGGCACTGATGGGCATTGACAGGCATCACTGATGGGCACTGAAAGGCAGCACTCATATATGACACTGATAGGCGCCACTGATAGGCGTCACTGACTGGCACTGATAGGGGTCACTGACTGGCACTGATAGGCAGCACTGATGGGCGCTGATAGGTGGCACTGATGCCCAGTGATAGGCGGCACTGACTGGTACTGATAGGTGGCACTGATTGGCAGCACAGATAGGTGGCACTGACTGGCATTGATAGGTGGCACTGACTGTCACTGATAGGTGACACTAAAAGGCAGCTCAGATGGGCACTGATATATGGCATTGATGTGCACTGGTAGGCACTGATATGTGACATTGATGAGGGACTGATGGGCACTGGCAGGTGGCACTGATGAGCACTGACAGCTGGCATTGATGGACACTGACAGGTGGCACTGCTGGGGCTGCACTGATCATTAGGGCACACTGATCATCAGTGCCCTGATGATCAGTGTACATGTCCCCTCTGAGGAATGCTGATTACCGGCTCTCCTCTCCTTACGAGCTGTCAGCGTGACAGCTCGTAAAGGAGAGGAATGCCTATAACCGGCATTTTCCTATTTACATGCGATCAGCTGTGATTGGATACAGCTGATCACATGACTGAGCCGACATCTTCGGCTCTTTCTGTTGATCGGTGATCTGCTGTGTCCGAGGGACACAGCGCACCACGGATCGTCATGCTGTGTCTCCCGGAGCCAAGCACGCATGGTTGGAGTGGGAGGACATCATATGATGTCCTCCCAGAATGAGAGAACCACCTTGCGCTCGTCATTTCCTTATATGGTGGGCGGGAGGCGGTTAAAGAACTAGGCTGCAAGTTGAAGGGAAGGACCTCCAAGGTGATATTCTCTGAAATATTACCTCTGCCATGTGCAACACAGGAAAGACAGGGGGAGATTAGAGAACTCAATGCATGGCTAAAGACCTGGTGTAAAAGGGAAGGATTTGGGTTTCTAGAGCACTGGGCTAACTTTTCATTGGGGTGCAACCTATATGCTAGAGATGGTTTTCACCTAAATAGAAAGGGGTCTGCTGTGCTGGGGGAGATATTTATGGGAAGGCTGGAGGAATATTTAGACTAGGATCGAGGGGGGGGAGGAGAATTAGATTATAATGGGGTAGACAGATCAGACAGGGGTCAGTACTTATTGGTGAGTTGAATGGGGAAAGATGGGGAGAAGGCTATGGCAGATGATAAAAAGGTTCCCATGCTACAAACAACCAGTGGAATTGGTACCATTTGTATGAAAATAAAAAATATGCAAAATACATGTGCACAAGGTGTCAATAAATGAAGTGTTTGTTCACCAATGCCAGGAGTCTGCCAAGCAAAATAGGTGAGTTGGAAGCTTTGTTGCATGAAGAGTGGTTCATATAGTGAACTCGATCAGTGGTTCATATAGTGAACTCGGTGTAGAGTTATTCACCTTGAGGTGAATCCGGAAAGGTTTCTTCACAGTAAGAGGTGGGAAAATGTGGAATAGATTCCCTCAAGAGTTGGTTCTGGCCAGCTGACTGGATTGCTTTAAAAAAGGCCTGGATTCTTTCTTGGATACACAGAATATAACTGGATACTAACTTAAAGGTACAATTGATCCAGTCAATATCCGATTGCCTCTCATGGGATCAGGAAGGAATTGTTTCCCCTGCAAGAGCAAATTGGTTCATGCTTTGCTGCATTGTTTGCCTTCCTTTGGATCAACTGTAGTTATAGGATTATAACTTTTTTTGTTGTTGGACTTTTGTCTTTTTTAAGCCAGACTAACTGTGTAACTATGTAACATTTTCCCACATGCTTTTGGGAGACTTCAGATCTATTTTTATAAAATTTAGCTGGGCTTGGATGTTTTTCTTCATAAGAAAAGGCTTCCGTCTTGCCTCTGTACCCCGTAGCCCAGACAAGAATACAGGAGATTGTTGTCACATGTACCACACAGCCAGTACTTGCCATATATTCTTGCAGCTCCTTAATGTTGCTGTAGGCCTCTTGGCAGCCTCCCAGACCAGTTTTATTCTCGTCTGTTCATCAATTTTGGAGTGACGTCCAGTTCTTGGTAATGTCACTGTTGCGCCATATTTTCTCCACTTGACGATGAGTCCCTTCACTGTGTTCCATAGTATATAGAATGCCTTGGAAATTCTTTTGTACCCTTCTCCTGACTGATGCTTTTTAACAGTGAGATCCCTTTGATGCTTTGAAAGTTCTCTGTGGACTACGGCTTTTGCTGTAGGATGCGACTAAGAAAATGTCAGGAAAGACCTACTAGAACAGCTGAACTTTATTTGGGGTTAATCAGAGACACTTTAAATGATGGCAGGTGTGTACTGACTCCTATTTAACATAATTTTGAATGTTATTGCTTAATTCTGAACACAGCTACATCCCCAGTTATGAGGGTGTGCACACTTATGTAAACCACATTCTTTTAGTTTTTTATGTTTACCCCCCCCCCCCCCCCTAAAAGATTTAAGTTTGTTTTTCAATTGAGTTGTACAGTTTATAGGTTACATTAAAGGTGGAAAAAGTTCTGAAATTATTTTATCTTTGTCTCATTTTTTTTTACATCACAGAAACCTGACATTTTAACAGGGGTGTGTAGACGTTTTATATCCGCTGTACATAATTTGCACACTCCCATACGCAGAAATTAGTGTACCATTTTGACACACGCCAGAGTTACATAATCCCTTGCATGGTCAATCAAGATGGCCGAAGATCCAAACCTGAAACATTTCAACGCCAGCAAAAAAGTTGCATTGCTGGATGGGAAAAGAGCATAATCCCACTTACATATATATTTAATTGATGACTTAATCTGCCATTGTTTGTGGCTTTGTACTCCCCTGCACATCAGCATTTAAACTGGTAGAGGAAGAGGCAGCACTGTACACCCATTCCCTTTTACTGTACTACAAACTACTGTGAATATACTGTAGTTGATGAAGCTTGCTAATTAGAGGGGAAAGCATAGAAATAACCTCATCAGTGAGATGCTGCTTCTTTACTATCCAAAACCAGTCTTCATCCATGTTGCCTTTGCACTGGAAATAAGTAAATGGGCAGCAACTGTCTATGGTGTCTGGCAGAGGTATCTGTATTAGAAAAATAGGTGAACAGAATTATACATTTTATATCAGGTAAACACAGTTCACACATTTATTTTAAGACTGTATTTAGCTGCTGATTTTTCCCTTGTATAAACCACCTTTTATAAATGGTGAAAGTAAGTGGTTATTGAAATTAGTTTGGAGAAGTGGTTTAGAGATACTTTAATTGATAAAAGACACTGAAACATTTTAAGATTTCTGTTCATAAGAAGCAACCACTGATTTAAGCCATGCCACACAAAAAGGAGCTGTCTGAAGACACACATTGCTTGGCTAAAATGAGTACACCCCAACAGATTTGTCAGAAAACCTTTACTTTCCTTTCAGAATCAACATTTTCTATGGGACACTATACTACAAAATTCTCCCACAAATGCAGGCCATTGACTGCAAACAAGATTTGTTAATTTGCACACACAAAAAAGTATTTTTCCTAACAAATTCATTCAAGACCATGTTGCAAAAATGAATACACCCCAATAAAAGTCTTAACAGCAAAGCTAAATTTTAGACTAACACAATCTTAATTAACAAGAATTCAAATACAGGGAAGTCTAATTATTCATCAATTGCTTCCCTACCACCCCATAGTAGAACTACCGCTACAGGACAGCAGGGCTACGCAAAATCATGTATATATATGTGATTTCATATTTCCTACCCGCGCCGCCATTGGTGGGTACAGATATCGATCACCTGCTCTAAACCCAATCGAACACCTATGGGTAATTCTGAAGAAACAAGTTAAACATTACTCTCCATCCAGGATCCAGGCTCTAAAAAGAAGTCATTCTAGAAGAATGTGAAAAGATAGATGTTGCAATATGTCGCCAAATTGTTCATCCATGCCTAGAAGACTGCTGTCCTTACAAATTATGGAAGTCATACAAAATACTGGATATAGTCATTTTTGTTTTGGGGTGTATTCATTTTTGCATCAACTAATTTGAGTAAAACTGAAGACTTTGCCAATGAACATCTAAGTGATTCAGAGAAGGACTGGGAGAAAGTGCTGTAGTCAGATGAGACCAAAATTGAGCTTTTTGGCATTAACTCGACTCACCATGTTTGGAGGAAGAAAAATGTTGACTATGACCCTAAGAGCACCATCTCTACAGTCAAGAACGGAGGTGGAAACATTATGCTTTGGAGTTGTTTCTCTGCTAAAGGTACAGGTGGACTTTGCCTCATTGAAAGGCCAATGGACAGGGCCATGTATTGTAAAATCATGGATGAAAACCTTCCTCCCTCAGCCAGAATACTGAAGACGGATCGTGGATGGGTCTTCCAGCATGACAATGAACCAAAACATCGCACCAAAGCATCAAAGGAGCGGCTCAAGAAACACATTCACATGGAGTGGCCTAGCCAGTCTCCAGACCTTAATCCTATAGAAAAATTATGGAGGGAGCTGAAACTTCGAGTTGCCAAGTGACAGCCAAGAAACCTTAAATATTTAGAGAAGATCTGTAAAGAAGAGTGGACCAAAATCCCTCCTGAGATGTGTGAAAACCTGGTAACCAGCTTACCTCTGTGCTTGCAAACAAGGGTTTCTCCACCAAGTACTAAGCCATGTTTTGCTTGGGGATCAAATAATTATTTTACTCACTGAACTGCAACTCAATTTAAAACCTTTTTTTATCATGTGTTTTTTCTGGATTTTTGATTGATATTCTGTCTCTATCATTTAAAATATACCTATGATAAAACTTATAGACCATCTGTTTCTTTGTAAGTGGGCAAACTTACAAAATCTGCAGGGGATCAAATAATTATTTTCCCCACTGTAAGTGAACAAATATTAGGGGGAAAAAGTGAGTTCTTCTAAATGGGGAATATCATCTGGATGTGTGGTTACTTAAATGTATTTCCTATTGTGTGGACACATCCTTAATAGCATTAATTTGTGTTATGGATTTAATAATACATACCCTGAACTGATAATTCATATGGACAATTTTGAAGCACCCTTTTGAAGATTTATTTATTGTATTGTTTTCACTGTTTTTGGAAGAAGTTATATAAGTGATGTATGGATGTTATTACTTTCAGAGGTCATTTTGTATTTGGTCTATATTTATAATTTGTCTATTCACACTATATTTAATGGGGGCTACACTTTCTATTTTCATTGTGATTCTACAAAACAGGTTGGATTATATAAAAAAAAATATATGGCAACCTCATAGCAAGGGTTAAAAAGCACCTAGGAACATGGGAAAAAAGTACAACATGTACTTTGTCCCATAAGGGACAGAACTGTAATACATTGTAATGATAGATCCTCTTTAAGTACCTACACAAATTAAAGGGGAATCTGTTATGATCCTAAACATCTACCTTAGAAGATTATATAATCTAGGATGATCTAGCAAGGTATAGGTGACAATATGAAAGATAAAACAAACAATTCAGACATCTGAAGGTTTAAAAAAAAGGTTTATTTATCACTGGGTAAAAACAAAGGCTGAAAATAATATAAAAACCACTATAATTTGCTTACATCAGAAAGATGTTCTACTGGTAGCAAAGTACAC